CCAATTGCGGTAAACAAAATTTTTGATCTTTTAAGAGGGCTGTCTTGTAAAAAAGCATGTGGTATTGACAAAATTTCCAGTAAAATTCTTAAATTAGCATCACCATGCAGTTATTTCTGCTACACTTACATATATTTTTAATCAAAGTATTACTCTTTGCAGCTTTCCAGATGAATGGAAAGTAGCTAGAGTTTTACCTCTTTATAAAAGTGGTCATCGTAATATTCCTGGTATTTACAGGCCAATATCAATACTACCAGTCATAAGCAAAATCATGGAAAGATTACTGTATGACCAGCTGTATGATTATTTAACTAAAAACGAAATTCTCTCTGATAACCAATTTGGCTTTCGAAAGTTTCACTCCACCGCTACGTCCCTTTTAGATTCAACAAATAGTTGGTATGTTAACATGGATCGGAAAATGTTTAACTTAGTAGTTTTTATAGATCTAAAAAAAGCATTTGACACCGTAGATCACGAAATTCTACTTGAGAAAATGCAAATTTACGGTATTAAAGTGCATATGACATTAATACCATTTTTTCACCAAAAATCAGCAAAAATTAGACAATTCGAATGATATATATCATTCTTTGATCGGATAAATACTTTCAGAGATAATTTAGATCGAACATTCAAAAAAATAGGGGTTTTCAAGACATGGCCGGGAGAAAAGAGGCTGAGTACGAATCAGGTTTGTGATGTCACACCGGGGACGGAAGTGAATCGACTCGTGTTGTATTACAATAAATATCTATTGTGTGCAATGAAAATTTGTATACTTTGCGCTTCGAAATGCCTGTTAGATATGTTGAATACGATTGTTCTAACACAACAGATGCTACAAATCAAATAGCTCTACATCCAATACCATATTATGGGGATTTTCGGCTGCAGTCATTAAGGAGAAGGAAACATTGGATAGATTTGGATAAATTGAAGCGAGCCAGATCGGAGCCGTCTCGTCAATTGTCAAATGCATGTTTGCACAAAGACATGCATTTCAAGGCGGATGACTTTTTGTACACTCTGAATATGTCGGGGCTAAAAGAACGCACATTTCCTCGACTAATGAGGGATGAAATTGGGGTTAGCGTTTATCCGACGGTACAAACTGTGGTCGAAAGGCAGGAGGACATATAATAATGCTATTAAAACTGCGAGGGTGATTTTATATACACGCAAGGTGAGACAATGTCTTATATTGCCTTTAATATACTTGGTTTTATATTTGTTGAGAATGATAGTATTGGATATTAAAAATAAAAGGAACTTTATTAAATACATAAGTCTTGTCGTTGTTCAGCGTCGCTCCTGACGAAGGGCCTTTGCTCGAAACGTCGAGAAGATATTTTGATCTTTTATAGGCTTGCCTTTTATATTGCATGATATACACTCTGCTAATATCTGCAATTCTGTGTTTCCGAGGCTCCAGGACATTGGTAACATTGCAATATCGAATGCAGTTGGGGCAGTTGGCTCAAATATGAACATTGAATATTTTAATACTGGGTCCTGTTTTAACAACAAACTTTTAAAGAACTTTTATCTAATTTTAATGTAGTATAATACAATTGTATTTAATAAAGTTCCTTTTATTTTTAATATCCAATACTATCATTCTCAACAATTGTAAAACCAAGTATATTAAAGGCAATATAAGACATTGTCTCACCTTGCGTGTATATAAAATCACCCCGAGCTCGCATTTTTAATAGCATTATTATATGCCCTCCTGCCTTTCGAGTTTCGACCGCAGTTTGTACCGTCAGATAAACGCTAATCCCAATTTCATATCTCATTCAGTCGAGGAAATGTGCATTCTTTTAGCCTCGACATGAAATGCATGTCTTTGTGCAAACATGCCTTTGACAATTGACGAGACGGCTCCGTTCTGGCTCGCTTCAATTTATCCAAATCTATCCAATATTTCCTTCTCCTTAATGACTGCAGCCGAAAATCTCCATAATATGGTATTGGATGTAGAGCTATTTGATTTGCAGCATCTGTTGTGTTGTAACAACCGTATACAACATATCTAACAGGCATTTCGAAGCGCAAAGTATACAAATTTTCATTGCACACAATATATATTTATTGTAATACAACATGAGTCGATTCACTTCCGTCCCCGGTGTGACATCACAAACCTGATTCGTACTCAGCCTCTTTTCTCCCGGCCACGTCTTGAAAAACCCTATTTTTTTGCCTGTTTGATCTAAATTATCTCTGGAAGTATTTATCCGATCAAGGAATGATATATATCATTCGAATTGTCTAATTTTTGCTGATTTTTGGTGAAAAAATGGTATTAATGTCATATGCACTTTAAGGATAAGGCACATTTGTTGCTGAGATCATATCTTACCGATCGCACCCAAAAATGCCAAGTAATTGGTGTTGTCTCGTCTGAACACAAAGTTAAGTGTGGTGTTCCTCAAAGCTCCATTTTAGGTCCTTTATTTTTCCTAATATATATAAATGATTTATCTGAAAGCCTAAATAGGACAAAGCCAAGACTTTTTGCAGATGACACAAACCTCACTGCTTCCGGTGGTACAATTGATGATATTGAAAATGCAGTGAACTCTGATTTGGAAAACCTCAGAATGTGGTTAAACGCGAACAAACTGAGTCTAAACATTGCCAAAACTGAATTTATGCTCATAGGATCAAGATCTCTAGTGCATACTGTTTCAGATTCAAATTTAAACATAATGATTGAAAACTTACCAATTAAACAAGTGAAGGAATGCAAGACACTAGGAGTAATAGTTGATCAGCATCTCTCTTGGAAAAGTAACACTGAGAGTATCTGTAAGAAAATCACATCGGCCATTTCTGTTATTAGAAAACTAAAAGAATTTGTTGACCGTGATAAACTTGTTTCTATATTTAACGCAATTGTACAACCATACTTTACTTATTGTTGTGAAGTGTGGGACATTTTTGGTGAAACTCAATCACAACGATTACAAAAGCTTCAAAATAGATGCGCTCGAATTATTATGGACATGGGTAACGAAGTTAATGCCCAAATCGCATTAAATTCGTTAGGAAGGGAGACACTAAAAGTACAAAGAACTAAAGCTAAGGCAAAATTAATGTTCAAAATTTTGAATATGTCTGGGCCTAAAAGCCTAACAGACCTTTTTACCTACAAGAATGAGAATACGCATTACTGTCTCCGTGACAATGAAACAACACTCGTTTTGCCACAGCCCCGCACAAATAGCATGAAAAAGAGTTTTATGTTTAATGGGGCAAAAATATGGAACTCAGTGCCTAAAGAAATCAGAGGAATTAGGTCCCAGTCTCTATTTGAAAGGAAAATTGCTGCTCATGTTTCTAAATAATATATTTATACATACATATATATATATCATTTATTGTAAATAGTTATGTATATGTTTTGTTAGTTGTCTATATTGTCAATTTTGTCAATTGGAACAGTTAGATTATTTCTATTTTCTTTTATTTGATTGCATAAGATTCCATTATATATAATAACTTTTGAACACACGCCCTTCGTGGAAATCAATGTTTTTAATTGACGTAGTTAGCGTGTCAAAATAAAATCTATCTATCTATCTATCTATCTATCTAATCTCAGTTTGCATATTTATTTTATGTATTCTAATGGTGCTAATAAAGTTTATTGTATTGTATTGTATTGTATTGTATTGTATTGTATATTGTATTGTATATTGTATTGTATATTGTATTGTATATTGTATTGTATATTGTATTGTATATTGTATTGTATATTGTATTGTATATTGTATTGTATATTGTATTGTATATTGTATTGTATATTGTATATTGTATTGTATATTGTATTGTATATTGTATTGTATATTGTATTGTATATTGTATTGTATATTGTATTGTATATTGTATTGTATATTGTATTGTATATTGTATTGTATATTGTATTGTATATTGTATTGTATATTGTATTGTATATTGTATTGTATATTGTATTGTATATTGCATTGTATATTGTATATTGTATATTGTATATTGTATATTGTATTGTATATTGTATTGTATATTGTATTGTATATTGTATTGTATATTGTATTGTATATTGTATTGTATATTGTATTGTATATTGTATATTGTATTGTATATTGTATTGTATATTGTATTGTATATTGTATTGTATATTGTATTGTATATTGTATTGTATATTGTATTGTATATTGTATTGTATATTGTATTGTATATTGTATTGTATATTGTATTGTATATTGTATTGTATATTGTATTGTATATTGTATTGTATATTGTATTGTATATTATATTGTATTGTATATTGTATTGTATATTGTATTGTATATTGTATTGTATATTGTATTGTATATTGTATTGTATATTGTATTGTATATTGTATTGTATATTGTATTGTATATTGTATTGTATATTGTATTGTATATTGTATTGTATATTATATTGTATTGTATATTTATTGTATATTGTATTGTATATTGTATTGTATATTGTATTGTATATTGTATTGTATATTGTATTGTATATTGTATTGTATATTGTATTGTATATTGTATTGTATATTGTATTGTATATTGTATTGTATATTGTATTGTATATTGTATTGTATATTGTATTGTATATTGTATTGTATATTGTATTGTATATTGCATTGTATATTGTATATTGTATATTGTATATTGTATATTGTATTGTATTGTATTGTATATTGTATTGTATATTGTATTGTATATTGTATTGTATATTGTATTGTATATTGTATTGTATATTGTATTGTATATTGTATTGTATATTGTATTGTATATTGTATTGTTATATTGTATTGTATATTATATTGTATATTGTATTGGATATTGTATTGGATATTGTATTGTATATTGTATTGTATATTGTATTGTATATTGTATTGTATATTGTATTGTATATTGTATTGTATATTGTATTGTATATTGTATTGTATATTGTATTGTATATTGTATTGTATATTGTATTGTATATTGTATTGTATATTGTATCGTATCGTATCGTATCGTATCGTATCGTATCGTATCGTATCGTATTGTATATATATTGTATATATATTGTATTGTATTGTATTGTATTGTATTGTATTGTATTGTATTGTATTGTATTGTATTGTTTTAAACTTGCAGATGAGTAATTAAATATGTGATAGGGGTTTTCATTTCTTACTTTCTATATATTGTTGTAATATTGCTATTTGGCTTACTATATTATTAACATTATTTTCAACCTACAGTAATCTGATTGTTTTGTTTTGTCAAGTAATATTTTCTAATTACAACTATTTATAATACATTATGTAATATTTACAACTATCTTGTTCCCCTCCATTTAAAAGTGTTATTGTTTTAACTATTTAAGAACAAAGAATCTGCTTCATTCTTCGGGAAACTCTATCCAAATGGTCGTCTCCTTATTTTAGGCATTGGGTCTAGATAATCAATCTAGTTTAATTAAAACAATCACAGTTCCCAACAATTCTCCTTATAATGTTAATTATTCTGGCATTAGATAGAGTAAAATATCAAAGTAGGGTGCATTATGGCTAAATGGTTTCACCAGAGACATGGGCAAGAAGTCTGGTTAACCCATTGACACCCAATGCTCCCCATTCAGTAAAATTGCCTTGCATTAGACAAAGTAAAATAACAAAGTAGAGCACATGCCAGCTAAATGGGTTTACAAGAGAATATGCATATAGTCTGCTTAACACATTAATGCTTCTCCTACACTTCTCTGTGATGTGAAAGTTGGCATAACAGTAGACAGAGTAAAATAACAAAGTAAGATATTGTGGCTCAACCCAGTGGCGGACACTTTGGAAAAAAATTGGGGGAATTAACATATGAACACATTTAGTAGCCGGAATTCTTAGTTATTTCAACTTTCTTGCCCTAAATTTCATGCAATACTATATGTAGTGATAAATTTTGCATGGTTGGAAAACTGTTGTAAGTTACAGCTTTCTTACACTGCTATTCAGGTATCATTTAAAGGTTTTCTCCCCCCCAGTATCCACCACTGGGTTTACCTACTCATTTCAAGGGGTTTCATTTGCAGGAAACAGCATATGTTTTTTTCCCATTCGTGATCTGTGTGCCGTTATAATCTCTTCTTTACATGGCCTTGGTAAGGGTGCAATGTTCTTTGGAATATTGGCAGGCATCGGTGATTTATAGGGGTTTTTCTTGTCATACTTGAAGGAAAAAACATCTTCCATCAAGTTTTGGATAAAGGAAAAGGACTTACTGGCTTTAACTGGTTTTGCAATCCATTATTTTCTGCCTTTTGGGAAAATTACCTTGTACCTCTTTTCCCCTTTCTTGCTTCCCTTTTTAAGTGTTGCTTCCTTCCTTCCAGTGTCGGAGTTGTGATCAATCACTGCCAATTGGGTTCTGGCCAACATGCCTTTGTATGAAAAATGACGACGTTTAGGAATGTACCTCAACATTAGTGAATGGTAGATTTCAAGGTCGCCTGTATGATGAAATTGTATGAGTTTTTCAATATCTTTTAAAAGTTTTTTTATTGAGAACCACCCTTACTAGTGCTACGTATGCTGCAGACCCATCCTCTAACCATTTTGTCTTCCTTTCCTTTCTTCTAGAAAGACGCCCATGTCCACACTTTCGAAAACGCTTGCCATTCTTCCATCTGTGTTTGTTAACCACATGATTCAAGATGGAGACCCATTTCTAACGTAAAACTTCAGCATCACCACCACAAGTCTGGGAACACCACCACAGATGATTGGACACGGATTGGATCCATTTAAGAAGTGATCATTGCTCTTTGTCTTAGCTGTCTTCCCCAATTTGTTTTTAATCCACTTCAACAGATGCTACACATCGTACTGATGGATTATGGAGGGGTATTTCTTCCTCATCTCTGATGTGATCTGGGTATGACGATCAGTTGACAAAGATCTTATATGGACATTTTGGTCAATGACTTTGTTGAGTGAATTTTGACAGCCTTCATTCTCAATTGCATTAGAGGAAGAAACTTCCTAGACTTGCACAAGGGAGAAATCTATAATCTTCCCTGAATCTTCGTCCATCAATGTGTATGTACCATATTTAGCATTGCGACTAGGACTATCAGATCGACCGTCAACGCATAAATTGACTGCAGTATTCTCCTTTTTTATTGTTTCAATTACATCCTTCCGTTGTTTTTCATAGGCATTGTTGATGACTGGGAAAACAATCTTATCCTGCACATCGTAAAACTGGTCCTTATTAACAAAGTTTAAATTAAGTGCATTAGAAAATTGTTTCATAGATTCATAGGATCCCCCAGTAATGACAGTTGCAGAAGGAATCAAAATGTTACCAGCTGGCTTGTTAACTATCTCTGGTTGTGATTCCCAGTGAAAGGTATGGTTGTTACAACATGTTGCTTTGATTACTACCATGCTATTAGTGTTAGACTTTTCAATCTCACATAGAGAACCACACGTGTTACAGTTGATAAATAGCTGATCAAGCATACTTTCAAACACAATAAAATTTCTTTCATTTTTTAGTTCTACCTCGTCAGACTCATCACTGGTGTCTAATTCTGAGCGAATATAATCGTCGTCACTATCTGATGTGACATCACTATCTGATGTGTCTTCCTCACTACTACTGCAAATGTTCACAATTCAGATACTGCCATGTTTGTGTCCGTTTCTTTTCTGACAATTGATGTTGAAGGGGAGGTAACAACAGGATCATTGCAATATAGAGCACGGATAGTGGATGACTTTTGTCCTTTTGTTTCCATCGGTGTTGAAGGAGGAGTAGGAACTAGACAACTTTTATTTATATTGCGAACAGTAGAAGATTTTTTTATTTTTAGATTTATTTTAACGTTGGGCAAGAGTTTGTATAGCAATACTCCGTTTTAATATTTTTCACACTGGACCTCTGCATCCAACAAAATCTTCAAATCACACTGTGTTTCTGCATCCTGACTTGACGTACTTGCTAGTTCTTGTTCAATACATGTATTGCCCATTTCATGCTCTTCGCTGCTTATTGTTAGTAGGCTTGCTACTTCCTGCAAAAAATCCACGTTTTTTGTCACTTTTGAATTAAAATAGTTCAAAAACGTGGCTACCCGGTAGACCATTTTAATTCATTATTAAAGTACTTATGGATCAAACAGTAACTCCTCTATTGACACCCCCCCCCCTTAATGACTAGATGAATAATTTTCCCCGGACGGTAATAATGATGCTTTTCTGTGGTTTCATATTAAGCTGAAACTCTATTCTATTGAGCCTGCCTTGGGACTACCCCCCATCAAACAGAACTGAAAAGTAAAGCTTTGGCGTCCATAATAGAGAATGTACAGTAAATTAGTAATTGCCCTCCCCTACCATAACCTTTACAGATTTCGTAATCTAGTCTGTTCACACAGAAAAACACACTTGTACAGTAATAGGGATTACCTCGTCTTTCGCAATTTTCTCTCTGATTTGTGCCCTCTTATCAGCCTAGACCTAAGCCTTCTATTTTTATTTATATTTTTTTAATATTCAGCGCTGTTTCACATGAAAAGACTGGGACTAGGTGACTTGGGGGCGGGGCGGAGGAAGGACACAAGCCTGACGCAAGCGAAAATATAGAAGGCCTAGTGGATTTCCCAACAACAAGGCCAAAACTGCCCTGAAACTGCCCTGATTGCGAAATGCCCAATTGTTGCGTTCTCAAACAGAATTATTTGCAACTTAACAGCGAATTTAAACCGATACAGGTAAAATAAACTCATTTATAGTATAAACTTACTATTTTTATTTGTATACACGTCTAGAAAATCGGGTTTTTTATCATAAAGCTTGAAGCAACACTATATATTTATATATGTTGACAAGGTGTAGCGAAACGGCACAAAATAATAATTCTTTTATTCGTTAGACAATCTACTGTTTTGCTTTGAATAACTATATTTGTGAATTGGGAATGAGGATTTTGAAATTATTGTTCAAATATTACGGATATACCATTTGTAAACAATGTACGTTTTTATATACAGTACTGTACGGGCTAATAATATATGTATCCGTTTTATTTTGTATATTTTACAAACACAAGACTGCTTCTTGCCAAAATTGAGAAAATATATATTAATGTAGTTGTGTATAAGTGAGACAAAATTTCATGAAAGATTCTACTTTTGGTATATATTTTGACTCATTTTGTGCTTTCGCTACACCTTGTCAACATATTAAATAATAGTGTTGCTTCGAACTTTATGATAAAAAACCCGATTTTCTAGACGTGTATACAAATAAAATAGTAAGTTTATACTATAAATGACTTTATTTTACCTGTATCGGTTTAAATTCGCCGTTAAGTTGCAAATAATTCTATTCGAGAACGCAATAATTGGGCATTTCGCAACCAGGGCAGTTTCAGGGCAGTTTTGGCCTTGTTGTTGGGAAATCCACTAGGCCTTCTAGGCTTGCTTCCTCCGCCCCGCCCCCAAATCACCTAGTCCCAGTCTTTTCATGTGAAAAAGCGCTGAAAATTAAAAATATATGAATAAGACTAGAAGGCTTAGGTCTAGGCTGCCCTCTTATATGATAATTCGCGTTCTGGTTTGCGATGTAAAAACGGAAATATCGACGGAATACTTCCAGGTTTTAGAGCCTTTTTCCCTTTCATGCCAAATAATTCTTTAAGCGAACCCTTGAAACAATCTGGGGGTAAAATGAGCGCTGCAAACATAGCACGAATTAGCTTTCGGCAGGTTGTCTCGACGATCACGTCTGAGCCATGTTCTTCGCATTTGCTGATCATTTGGCAAACGATGGTACGATATATCACTCCCTTTTGTCTTCTTTGAACAATTTGTGCAACCAGGAACCGTGCAGTACGGCATTTTTCCGAAATAAGTATTTCTAACACTAGAAAGTCGCCTGTGAAATTACTGTGTTGTTTTGAAATTTGAATATAAATGCGCTCCCCCGAAACCGCGCAATGACGTCACAAGGTAAAACCACTGCGTGATTGCAGCTTCGCTTTGATGTACAAAATCGCGGCTGCGTTATATGCAAATTTTAGCACATTTATCGCTTGATTTCTCGACTTGGTTATAACTTGGACATGTGGGATTTTGTGTGAGAGGTAAGCATTATATGATCTTTCATATCAGCCTAAGTTGTTCTGAACTCTGACTTCCCCTTTAACGCATTTGATTGACTAAATTCAGGAAGCCAGTCAAGCTAGTGTACGTATATTTGTTACAATTCCAATCAACTCTGCCGCGATTCTTACAATCTTGCCCTCCTTTTCGCCTATGAGGCGTTGGTATCGATTTATACACATTTTAAAATTTAAACAGCTTGCCGTGACTCCTTGAGAATCAAAATTCAAAACTAGAACTCCAAAATATTTACTGGGTACATGTAAAACGAAGACCTAAAATCTAAATTCTCAAAAGTAGCTTTAGTACTGTCAAATTTTCCGAAATCTGATTTAGTTGTTTCAAAAGTATAGAATACACACACACACTACTGTATGGATTTCGTACATGTTCTACATTACAAAAATTATCCCACTTCCGCGGTTTGTTGTGATTTACTGTAATTTGCTCTGTTTTTCTGTAGCGATTACCGATTTATCGGCGAATACCGCGATAAAACTTGGTTTTCTTTATTTATTTTATTCTACAGCATTTATAGTTCTGCAGCTATCCTACAGTTTTATAATATTGTGAATGATCCCGAATATTCAAAACGGATTGAAAGAATGAAAGCAGTAACGATGTACTGTATAACGGGTTAAACTTAGGCCGTAGAGCACACTGCCACTGGTCACTGTCACTGAGCCGAAGGATAAACCGAAAATTCACTTAAGATGAGATGAGTATACTGAGCTATTTTTTGACAGCGGTAACGAAATATATCGGCTGTCAGTCTAAGTGTTTCCTCTGAAGTGTTTCTTTATGCGTTGGCCATCGCAATATTATACAAATAATGAATGTTTATGAGTGCAATGGTAAGAATATTTTCATGAGGTGAAAGATGGAATGTTCCATTCAACGAAGCGACAGCCGAGTTGAATGGAACATTACATCTTTCACCGAATGAAAATATTCTTACCATTGCACGAAGAAACATTCATTATTTGTTTTATATAATACCAAAATAGACTAATAGATTCGTATGAGAAGCATTTTGAGGGATGCGATTTATCGAAAACACATAGAGTGCAATTGTACTATACGTTTTTTTCCATTGCACTCGTGGAGAGTGCAATGGAACGTGTTCCATTGCACTCTTGGGAAATGGAATTTTCTATTCAATATCACGTGACCATAAACAGCCAATTAAACGATTGGAATTTAATAAGGTATTATATAAAATATAATATAATATAGAGAGTAAATTTTAAACATAACTACATAAGCTTGACAGATGTAAGATAACGAGTTTCACAATCCTATTTTAAATACAACTATGGCTTTTGGCAGTTTTGCATATGTGTTTTTTAAAAGCTCAATTTTCTTACTTCTCCAACGTGTAAAACTCGAAAAAACTATAATAACAAAAATTTGTAATAGTAAACAGTGTATTTTATTATAAAGGATTTTCGTTTTTCTACTGCTCCGTACTCCGTGTGCTCCGTGCTCCGTGCTCCATGTGCTCCGTGCTCCGTGTTTTACTAATAGCCAAACGTAACGGATTGAAAGAATGAAAGCAGTAATGAATATGTACTGCATAACGGTTGAAACGTAGGCCGTACAGCACACTGCCACTGGTCACTGTCACTGAGCCGAAGGATAAACCGAAAATTCACTTAATTTAAGATGAGATGAGTATACTTGGCTATTTTTTGCAGGGGTAACGAAATATATCGGCTGTCGCCTGTCGGTCTAAGTGTTTCCTCTGAAGTGTTTTTTTTTATGCGTTGGCCATCGGAATATAATATAATATAATATAATATAATATAATATAATATAATATAATATAATATAATATAATATAATATAATATAATATATTATAATATAATATAATATAATATAATATAATATAATATAATATAATATAATATAATATAATATAATATAATATAATATAATATAATATAATATAATAAAATAAAATAAAATAAAATAAAATAAAATAAAATATAATATAATATAATATAATATAATATAATAAAATAAAATAAAATATAATATAATATAATATAATATAATAAAATATAATATAATATAATATATTATAATATAATATAATATAATATAATATAATATAATATAATATAATATAATAAAATATAATATAATATTAATAACTTACTGACCGAGAGTGGGGGCAGACGGGAAAATATCCAACCGAGGTCTTGCTGTATTGACCGAACGATAGCGAGGTCAATACAGCAAGACTGAGGTTGGATATTTTCCCGTACTGCCCGAACGGTTGAGGTCAGTAAGTTTTTTATTATATGGCATTGTACGTTTGTAAAAAATGGGAAAAAAGGTCAGGCGAGGGCAAAGTACAAAGTACGAAACATTTGCAAAAAAGAACAATTGTAAAATGTTCTCAAGCTTCGTCAGTAAAACTACTCTACAGCACTTTTTATATAGAATAATAACACAGTTTGGATAGTATTTCAAGAAAAATACGAGGTATTTCGTCATTTAATCAAAGACAAAGACAACAAATATGAAAACAATAAAATTAATAAACACTATGGACAAGTACGTTTTTACTTTTTAGTTCGCTTCATCTCATAAATATGTCTCTTTTTATTGAACAAAAACAGAAATTTTCAGGGAAAAAATATAAATCTGTGGCTGCTTTAGTTGTATTTTTTACTTAGGATGGTGTCACATTCCTCGGCTATCTGCAAATAAAATTTGCAGCTCTTCACAAAGTCAAAACACAGCTATTCCTGACTGCTTTAATTGTTATAAATATTGTAAAATTTACCTTGTAATTTCGACTTTCGCTAACAAAAACATATTGAGAAAGTTCTTTAACCAAAGAAGGTGCTCCTTTTCTTTAGTTTCGGCTTATTTTTCTTCGTTTTGAACAGTTTTGAAAGACTTTTAGACACTTTTTGCCGTTTGAACTCGGCTCTCGTCGCAGGGCAATAAAAAATAATAAATTGCGTATTGCCCGTGGGCATTACGGGAAAATCCTGCCTCGTCAGCAGCCAATCAAATTGCGCGATTCATCAAAACAAATGCTTGCCATATAATATAATATAATATAATATAATATAATATAATATAATATAATATAATATAATATAATATAATATAATATAATATAATATAATATAATATAATATAATATTTAACAAATATAAAACATTTTCCGTGTTGATATGCAGTTATATCAACACGAGTGGAAATTGGGAAAACGAGAAATTGTGTGGAAACACGACGCCCGAAGGGCGGAGTGTTTTCACACAATTTCGAGTTTTCCCAACTTCCACGAGTGTTGATATAACTATATATCAATACGGAAAAAATGTTTTATATTTGTTTTATAATATAGCAAAAGCCCGAAGAATAAGAACAATTTCCGTGTTACAAGCGGCGGAAAATTTCCCGTGTTGACATGGAGTTATATCAACACGGCTCTTAGCCAATCAGCGTTCAGAATTTACAAATGCTATATTATAAAATATAATATAATATAATATAGTATATAATATAATAGCACAGCACTGCAGCACAGCACAGCACACAGCACAGCACAGCACAGCACAGCACAGCACAGCACAGCACAGCACAGCACAGCACAGTACAGTACAGTACAGTACAGTACAATACAATACAATACAATATAATATAATATAATATAATATAATATAATATAATATAATATAATATAATATAATATAATATAATATAATATAATATAATATATCCGAATATCAGTTCAATTAAATTTCAGAAATAAAACTGTTTTCGGCCTGTTCACTAATAGTGTTGCAGTGTTTCTTGTATACGCACACGCTTTCAAAATGGCTTCTTTTGTGACTTTATTGCTCTATTACAAAGTTGTTTTTCTCGATTTCTGCTTGGAATATAAACGCAATGACGGAATGACTCTTTCACCAGACTTACAACTAAAAATAGTTTCTGTTTAGCATTAATTACTTCAGGAAATGGCTGAGGAATTTGGTAAAATGAAACTTTTGATGTAAAACTATATCGTTCGAAATAAAGTTTTAAATTAATAACATTTTTACAAGTTTCGGGAACACAATACAGCGGTCAGAACACCATACAGCACAATGAAAACATAACATATCAAAAGAAATAGTATTGTACAAATTGGAAAATCTATAGCATACAAAATAAAATGGATTTTAAAGAATATCACGGGAAGGTTTTTCCCAAAAGTCGGGATGGTTTTTGCCATTTGTTTGAAGTGAATGTTTCGGAGTTTTAAATAAGTTTTATATTGTCCGTGAATATGTTTGACACAGTAAAATAACAAAGGAATCCTACCTTTCAAGTTAAATACAACATTTTGTGTTTCTTCCGTTTTCCGGGGACGATTTTTTCAATATTTTGTCGATTTTGAAACCAAATTTGTCGAATCATTCTTTTTGAAAAGCATTATTTACTAGCCAGGTGGTAAATAATGCCTCAGATTTACTAGTCAGCTAGCCAATCAGAACTTTGAATAGCGATAATTTTTACAGAAAAGCGATAATTGAAAAGCGATAATCTTCACGTGTGAGATTATCATAAATAATCTCACATGTGAGATTATCACTTTTATCAGTGCGGGAAATCTCTATAAAGCACTATACTTATATAATAATAAATAATATTTCAGACGAAAATATACTGTAGCCCGTATGTTTCATTTACTTACAAATTTTATCACAATATTTCCCTGCATAAGATCGAGAACAATTACAAAACGATGATTTATTTCCACATCCACCAACACATCTTCCGCCATTTAAACATGGAAAATCAGGACAGTTGAGCTTTGTTGAATCCTGCGTGAAAATTTACGTATATTTGAATAATTGGGCGATAAAACAAGAGGCCATCGGGGGATATTGGATCTGTTTGGAAAAAAGAACCTAAAGTATGTAATTTTAGCCGCAGAAACCGAGAAGGGGGATATCAATCTGAAGAAATTCTGGACTACCAGAAAAAGACTAAAAACGTTTCGATGATTTGATTTCTTGCACTTCACTTGGTGGAATTAATATTAGAATTATTATTAGAAAGAATTATGAGTGTTTTTGAACAATTGAACATAACAAATCCTACAAGTTGGTTGGTCAAATTTGACGTATTAAGCTGTTATGTTCACCTAGAGGTGAATAAAACAAAACGAAATTTTCAAAATGGCGGCTAGCCGTTTTGTGGACGTTATACTGATAAAGAAATAAGCAAAATTAAAATAAATTCAGTCCCCAAAAACATGAAGGACTCGACTTCGTCTCGGCAAATATTCCCGATAATCACCTCGCCTTCGGCGAATAATTGTTAAATATGAGAATGTTAGATTACAAACCCTCACATTCTAATAAAAACATTTCAACGTTTCGAGCGAAAGCCAGCGCTTCATTACCAACCTGCTCAGATCTTCGCTCCAATATTTTGGAGGTGCCTGCAAAACAACTTTAATGCAGTTTGATCTTCAAACTGACGTTGCACGTTCCTAGTCTAAATATGTACTTCAGTGGCGCAAATACTAGGGGCCCAACCTGGCCGATACCAGGGGCCCTGGAGAAGGAACTTCTTAGGGGGCCCTTGGCTAATATCAAATAACACAAACATTGTATTATAACTTTTATTGTATTGTAACTTAACTAGCTTTTCACGACCGGATGGTCATCGAGAAAAGACTTTATAAACTATATACGAGCGGTAAAGACAGATTACCCGAAATCAGGACTGAAACTCCTGAAGCAATATAGTAAAGGAAGTGAACGCAAAGAGAAATCTTAGGCTATAATGATAAGCACTCTAAAATTTCTTCTTTCACTTATCATCTGGGAAAATATTGTTACTGCGCTTAATCTTGCATCTAAACATATGCAAGCATTTGATATGGATCCTGGCAAATCGGGAAAAGCACTAAATTTAATTTAGATAAAGAAATAAGAATGGAAAAAGATTTTTAAAAAATCCACTATCCTTGCTCTTAAGTTTGGACTTCCTGTTTCATTTGTTGAAAAAAGAACAAGAAGGGTTGCCAGATTCTTTCACGAAGGGGCCACAGACGACCTTATCATTAACGCAAAAACAAAATTCCGTGTGGAACTGTTCTTTCCAACAATGGAAAGCTTCTAGAAGAACGTATATATATATATATATATATATATATACATATATATATATATATATATATATATATATATATATATATATATATATATATATATATATATATATATATATATATATATATATATATATATATATATAATTTCGCTTACCTCAAAATTCCGCAACAGTCTGTTTCATCAGTAAAGAATCATCAGGCGGTATGACAAGTTTCGAAAATAGGACTGCTTATATGTGTTTTGGCCGGAATGTGGGTGTGTGGGTGGAACAAAGCATGCATTCATCTATTGTTTGCGTTGTTTACGCGGAAATGCCTAATCGAGTTGTGGGAGTGTATTGTTTGCGTTGTTTACGCGAAATTTCTTCCTATGTCTGCACGTTGATATAATTTCCATTCTTTTATTGAGTAAACAGTTTTGGTTTTCTTTCAAAATACAAAATTTTTCCTCTAAACATAAATTACATCGTTTTGATCCTCCCGTATACGAAATAGCGCGTTTCAAAATTTGCCAATTGATATTAAAATCTTTCTTGCTATCTTTCAATGTCCAAATATATTTCGAAAGCTCAGTTTTGTTTGAGTGCTCTTTATGCTCGAAAGTATAGTTATGGTTAGCCAAACGCTCTTTAAATGTAGTTGATGTCATGCCAATGTAATTCATGATCGTGTTAGGGTTGCTTGTTGTGACTGTTGCTTTGTATACTACGTCCTTAGTCATGCATTGTTTCTGAAGTGGGCATATTGCGTTTTTCGGACAACTGCAATTGACAGTGCCCTTGCCCTGTGCCTTGTTCTTCCTAGCTATATGTGCATTGTGCTTAGTGATTATAGACTTAACATTGCTCATGCAGCTATAACTTACTTGTACCGTATTTCTGTTAAAGATCTTATGCAGCTTGTGGTGCGAAGGAAAGTGCTTGTCGATAAGGTTAAGAAAATTACGCCCTATGTTAGTGCTGACATTCATGCTAAATGGTGGGTTGAACCAAATGATATTACGTTGCCTATTTCTGCGTGCTTGCTGTGGTGCGTGTTGAGTGTAGTTAAGATCATGATTATGTATGTATGTAATGTATGTAAAACTTTATTTCAATACGCTAACTTCGACAATTATTTACAACTGGTTTCCACGAAGGGCGTATACACACAAAGAGCTAAATGTTAATTATATATAGAACAAAATATGTAAGAATCCCACCCTAAAATTTTATCATCTTCCTCCAAAACCTCCACCCCCTAAACAAGTACCCACCCACCCTCACTCAAAACTAACCCCCCTCCCGCCCACAATCTATATTGTCCTCCCATCATTTGGTCCTGGAGAAATTAGCTTATTATCTGCTTAAATGCAATTTCGCCATTGTTTTAAATGACGTAATTGACTCAGCCGCCTTGACATCTTGCGGGAGACTATTCCATAGAATTGCTCCACTGTATTCAAATGTTTTCTTTAGAAATTCCGTTTTCGGTTTTTTTAACGAGAGATCAGTTTCGCTATTGCGTAAATCATAAATATTCTGCGATGCATTTCTCCGAGAAAAAGATCTTTAAGGTTTGGCGCAGTGTGGTTCCCCAAGACTTTATACATCAATACTAGCTTGTTTTGTTCTCGTCTCCTAGCCAGGGTTTCCCAACCTAATTTGTTTAGGACTTCAGACGATCTTACATCGTAGTCAGCTCCGGTAATCACCCTTGCTGCTCGATTTTGGAATTTTTGCAATTTGTCTTGAAGTCCAAAACCACAGTTATCCCACAGGGGAGAACAGTAATCAAAATGAGGCTGAATTAATGTTTTGTAGACATCATGTAAGGTTTTGTGTGGAACATAAGGTTTTATTCTTTTAATTGCTCCTATTCCAGCGCTAATCTTATGGCATAAAGAATCAATATGTTTCTCCCAACTTAATTTTTCATCTAGATTTACACCTAGACATTTAAATGTATTGGTTTGTGGGACTGGGATTTTGTTAATCTCAACGGGTCTATTTCCTATTTTATGATTTAGATTATGCGTAGATCCAATAAACATGACTTTGATATTTTGACTATGATATTTTAGTTTGTTTTTAGCAAGCCATTTATGAATACTGGAAAGGTCCATATTCAAATTGTCAATCAATGTATCGTAATCATGCGAAGAGGAAGATATCTGAGTGTCGTCGGTATAAAGACATGGGGTTGTCCTTTCTAAAATGTCAGGCATATCATTAATATATAGCAAAAACAATAATGGACCAAGTATGGATCCTTGCGGAATTCCGCATATTATTGTTCTTGCAGAAGAAGTTTGATCATTAACAGAGCACACTTGCTTTCTATTCCTTAAGTATGATTGGAACCATTTTAATTCAATGTCGTGAATTCCAAACTGGGTTTTAAGCTTCTCCAATAATATCTCGTGATTCACCGAGTCAAATGCTTTACATATATCAAGAAAAACAACTCCATTTATTTTGCCTTCATCCATGTCTTGTAGCCATTGATCACACATTTGTATAAGAGCACCTAAGGTTCCATGTTTTGGTCTAAACCCGGATTGAAATTTAGACAGAAGCGCATGTTTATTCAAAAAGCTATATATTTGAGTAAAAACTTCCCCTTCAAATATTTTACTTATTATGGGAAGAATTGAAATTGGTCTATAATTTTCGCATTTACGCTTATCCTCAGATTTGTAAATTGGTATAACTCTTGCTAATTTCCACTCATCTATATAAATACCAGTTCTAATCGATAGGTTAAATATAAAAGTTATAGATGGAGCAATAAGGGTTGATGTCAGTTTTAAAATATTCGCAGGTATTCCATCCATACCTGTCGCTTTAGAGACATTTAGTTTTTGTAGGCGTTTGGAAACACTATCTATAGTAATATCTGCGAAGTGAAAATTTTCTTTAGGAAGAAGCAAAGTACTTTCATAAATTACTTGATCATTTAAAGCATCAGTGCTTTGACATGCTGATTCAGCAGCCATCTTCATTCCAATATTTATAAAATATTCATTTAATGTTTCAGTAATAGATTTATCATCAGAAATAATATCATCATTTACTTTCAGTTCATTAATATTTGCATTCTTATGCTTTCTTCCTAAGAGCGAATTTATCCAAGCCCAACTGCTTTTACTGTCTCCCATTTGAGAGCTTGCCTGGATTTTATCACAAAAGTACTTAGATTTTGCTTTCCGCATGTTTATATTTACTTCATTACGTAGTGTGTTATACAATTCCCACTGTGACTCCGAATCATATTTTATGGCCTTTTTTTTGTGATAGTCCCTTTTTCTCATAAGTTCTTTAATTTGAGGATTAATCCATGGGACAGGGTTATTCCTTATTCGCTTGTGGCGCAGAGGGGCATGTCTATTAAGTGCATCTAATAATAGTGATTTCCAGACTTGCCAACATAAATTGGGATCTCCAAACTGATAGACCATCTCCCAAGGCAATTGAGACACATCCCGAATGAAATCATTTTCGACAAAGTTTTCAAAGTTACGAACCTGACGAATTTTTTGCCTTCCTTTCGGTAGTGAAAATTTTCTCACAGCGTAGACAAGGCTGTGATCTGGAATTCCCAGGTGAATGACACCTGATCTGGAAATATTTTCTGGTCTATTTGTTAATATTAAATCAATTAGTGTAGCTGATTTAGGAGTTAGCCTTGTAGATTCTTTAATAAGTTGGTCTATCTGATACAGAGAACATAAAAATTGCAACTTACATGTGTGAGGGTCAGGTATAGTTTTACTGACATCACAATTTAGATCTCCTATGAGGATTATGATCTTCATTATCACATTTTGCTAAAAAGCTTGCCCAGTTGCTATGGTCAAGTGCGTTTTGGTCAAGTGCGTCATGGTAAAGTTGCTACGGTCAAGTGCGTTTTGGTATGCAGGTGCAGATTCCATAAATGTTTGCTGATCTGATGAAAGCATTGCGATGCGCTTGTTAACTTATATGTAGGAAGCTGCCTTATAATGCTAGGTGGATGGTTAGAGAACCTATTTATGTATAGCGGATCGTCATTGGGCTTCCTATAGGGCCTATATTTGCCGTTGTTAAGATTGAAAGTTACATCTAAAAAGTTCACTGAGCATAAAGAGCACTCAAACAAAACTGAGCTTTCGAAATATATTTGGACGTTGAAAGATAGCAAGAAAGATTTTAATATCAATTGGCAAATTTTGAAACGCGCTATTTCGTATACGGGAGGATCAAAACGATATAATTTATGTTTAGAGGAAAAATTTTGTATTTTGAAAGAAAACCAAAACTGTTTACTCAATAAAAGAATGGAAATTATATCTACGTGCAGACATAGGAAGAAATTTCGCGTAAACAACGCAAACAATACACTCCCACAATTCGATTAGGCATTTCCGCGTAAACAACGCAAACAATAGATGATTGCATGCTTTGTTTCAGCCACCCACCCCCACGTTCCGGCCAAAACACATATAAGCTGCCCTATTTTCGAAACTTGTCATACCGCCTGATGATTCTTTACTGATGAAACAGTAACTGCATTTGCCCTATCTACATTTGCCCTATCTTTATGATATTGAGCACTCTTTGCGTTTCGTATCCACAAACCTACTCGTATATATATATTCTGACCTACTCGTATATATATATATTTGTCAGTTTCTGACGAAGGGGCTATGCCCCGAAACGTATTTATGTATTTACTTGAAATTTAATAAAATTTATTTTTAACTATATATATATATATGTATATATATATATATATATATATATATATATATATATATATATATATATATATATATATATATATATATATATATATTGTGAATTTAGGAAAGGTTGTCCTCGATAAATATATATTTATAGAAATATACATGACATGTGACCAGATATATCTATCACATGACTTCATCTGATTAATTATGCAAGCTGCCTACAAAATTTCGTAGGAGTGAAGCAGTTTGGATTTTATTTGATCAAACTCAAAATGCCAAAACCTTACTCAGACATTTTACGGTGGAGAATAGTGTGACAAAAGCAACCAACAAGGAGAATAACGTGAATGTATGCACAATCTATATGATTTTTTATCCCATCCAACTTGAGAAAGTTGACCACAGAAATTCGACTACACAAAGCACGACTACAGAAAAGCATGCACGCATACAATATTAATCTTTTTATATTTTCTGTGTTTGTGTAATGTACTCAGGTGAATAAAATGTTTGTGATGTTACTCTGAGTATATATATAAAAATCATGATGACTAGATTACATATACAAGAACTAGACCTAGTTCCGAAATATTCCATACTCGAACCGACTTGACCACGTAGCTCATGCAGTTGGCAGAGCATTGGGCTAGTATTCCAAAGGTTCTAGGTTTGATTCCTGCCATGGACAGGCATATTTTTCAAGCCTGCCCGGTGTGAATATACACCCAGAGTAACATCACAAGCATATTAATCTCTTTGTTTGCTAAAAACATTTTTAAACAACAAAGAGGTTAATATTGTATGCATCATATTTTTGCCATGCTTAATATTTAGTAATTAGTCGGCTTTTTCGTTGGTATTGTACACGAGACATGCTGGAAAAGGAAACCCTTACTGTTTTTAGAACAATTGATAAACAAAAATGAGAGCACTTCATTTACACAATGAAGGAATATATTACATCTCCCTCCCTATACAGGGTGTATAAAAAAAAGCAAACTCGGAATTTCCTAAGAAATCACTTCGCAATTCTAATAGATCATACTGTTGCTGTTGTGCATTAAATGCATGCATAAATTTTGCTTTATGCACTCGCGTGTGCAATAATTTTGACAGTTGTGCTATTTTAAATTCCCAGGCGCCTAAAATCTTTTGTCTTTAAAACAATGTCCATTTCTTGGGAAATTCCGAGGTTGCGTTTTTTTGATACACCCTGTAGGAATATAACGAAATTTGTAGAGCGAATATTTTGTCTCATCAGCTCTCTGCTGGAACTAATTAGATTTGTCTTTGCTAATTAGTTCCACTCGAGAAATCACAAGACAAAGAGAAATTCCGCTCCGCGCGGAAAATTCGGCTTAGTGGAAAACGGCCTTTAGGAAAAAATATTCTTCTAAACATGTTAGATGGCAAAACCAGGATTTATATTAACACCCCCAAACGTTTACTGGTTAAAAATATTTATTTGGACGACCTTTCGACTGCCAGTCTGCAGTCTTCGACAGGTATTCGAAGTGAATGCCAGAACAATACCGCTTTCTGCTCAAAAAACCTTAAATTATTTTCAATGTAAACAGTCATTAATCTTATATGCGTTGGCGGAACTGTCAATAATTGTATGTTGTGTGAGAATATTGTATTTGTAAACCGGTACCACTGTAAATATCACATTTACTTTAATCTATACCCGTGGAAGACTGCAGACTGGCAGTAGAAAGCTCGTCCAAATAAATATTTTAAACGATGCAGTGAACGTTTGAAACTCTTAAAATATTGTTCGTCGCTTTCCCAACCTCAAGCCGGTCAGCCTAACGACTTTCGAGTTTGATTGCGACATTACATCGCGGAATGCAATACTGAACTGGGCAAATATTGTCGGTGTTTAGGAAGATACGTAAAACACGTTGTGACTGTTTTTGGTGAAGTAAACATGTCTGATGCTGTATTCTCCTTGTTGATCGGTTGGACAATAGCTTTTGCCACAGTAAGGTTTTGATATTTCGTCCAAATAAAATCCAAATAGCTTCATGCACTCCTTCAAAATTTTGTAAGCAGCTTGCATAATTAATCAGATGAAGTCATGTGATAGATATATCTGGTCACATGTCATGTATATTTCTATAAATATATATTTATCGAGGACAACCTTTCCTAAATTCACAATATATATATATATATATATATATATATATATATATATATATATATATATATATATATATATATATATATATATATATACTCAAGCATTACTCGCGAAAACGAAATCACCCGCACTTATTCCAAGTTCTTTTAATTATAGTTCTTTTTCTTTTTCTGCCCGTCACTGTTGCCACTGCACCTAACCGATCATTTAGTTAACTTAATATTATAAAAAAACTATTTAGGATCCACAATGGTATAGGAAAAATTTAATGCATGCACTTGCTGTAAATTCTATATTGAAGTTGAAGAGGCAAAAAAGGTTTGAGATTGACAAAACGATTGATATCTTTGGAGAGAAAAAGACCGGATCAACTAAATTTAACAGTTAACTAAGACAATTTGGTTGCAATTTAAATTGTGTTTGCTTACACCTTGTCAGTATGTTAATTGTTATGAACTATGTTGTTGTTGTTGTTGCTTAAGCAATAGAAAACGGAGCTGTTTTTTGTTTTGCTGTGTTTACGGTGTCATATTAATTGATGTAGTAATAGTTATATTCAGTAGCTATAATATACTCTCGCAAATTTTGTTGCAGAATTTGGCGCAATATTTGGACCTCGTGTTCCTCATGTTCGTCAAAAATTCAATTCGTAGGGTTAGCATTGTAAAAAAATTGGGGGAACATGTATAATCAAGGGGCCCTCCAAACTACTTCAACCGGGGGCCCATAACTGAAGATTTACGCCACTGATGTACTTTGATACTGCCAGTATTAATCTTGAGCCATAACGACCATGAGTTTTTTTTAATCATATTTGTTGAAAGAACAAATTCTACTGTACTTATGAAATATAAAATATCAAGTGTCCATCAAGGTAAACGTTCCATTGTTTCCAATTGGACACAGTCGCGTAGCTAGGGCGGGGGGCAATGGCTTTGCAAAACAAGTCCTAATGGAAACGATTTCGTCGTCTAACATTGCTTCAAACATCCAAAATTATTGTCGGACAAGTTGCACCATGTCTTGCACGGGGTACAAGAGTATTCTACTTTTAGCGATTGCGGTGACTTTTTCAGCATTTTCGGCATATTGCAGGTTTCTCTGTGAGGTCATTTATCTCAGGACAGGTAATTTTATGTCTGTGTAACCTTCACTTACCCTATTTGGTTGGAGTAATACGTAATGATCATAGTCAGGGTGCTCTTTTAAAAGTCCAGGTTCCTCAGCTGGTGTAACATGAGGTAGCTCGCAGTTTTCCTTCTCGTCGCAAAGAGAGTTTTTCTTGTAGTTTACAGACCTACAACACCCATCTTCATTCAAACACATAAAAATACATTCCATTAGCACGCAGACGTTTCAAAATATGAGGGAAGTTTAAACGACGACCTGTCAAAAAAATATAAATTAAACACTTAATTTGAGTATTTAAACACGATGTATACATTTCTGTATTCCTCAAAAAGTAAATGCTAATCACTTTTTGGTCTACTAGATATAGAGATATAGAGAAGATATAGTTTATCCGGGCAAAACGTGTCTAGTGCCGTGTATAAATGAGGTATAAATCTGGACAAAGCACAGGGGGTCCAACTAAGAGCTGTGTTATGAATATGAATAAAACGTTAATTAAATGTAATATGAATAAAACATCATAACGTAATAAATTTAAATTATTGCACTTACTTGTATAAATCATAAGAGCTTGCATTTACAACGAATAGCTTCAAACAGGGCGCTTATATATGCTCAGAAACAATGATTAGAACAATTGTTCAAATATGGCGAATAAATTGACAAAACGAAAATATTACATAACGTTCCAACGAAAATAACAGAAAGGATTGCGGGCGCGCGAGCGAAAAGGCGAGGGAAGAAATAAATCAAAGGGATGAAACAAATATCACGTGACTTTTTAAAATGCTTCTAGACTAAGTTTAAGCTTTTTGTGGTATTTTTAGGGCTCAGTAGATGTTCTCTTACATGAACAAGCCTAGTCATTACCAAAAACACACTGATCAATCTAATTTATGTGATTTATAACAGCGAGCATTCTTGGCCATTTTCGCGAGATGTGTTCCATAAGTAGCCTGGTCTCGTGACGTAATGACTAAATAATAATAAAACTAAATGTTAAAAAAAACGTTGGTCGCTACATTTAAATATTTCATATTAGCCGGTACAGCTAAACATTGTTTATTTTCTTAATTAAGCGCGTAAGCGTTGTTGGAGTTAGCAGGAGGCGTTTTGGAATTTTCCGAGAGACCAGGCTACTTATGGAACACATCACACGATCGCATTACGGTGTTTCATCCCTTCTATTAATATCTATTACCCTCGCCTTCCGCTCGCGCCCGCCATCCTTTCTGTTATTTTCGTTGGAACGTCATGTAATATTTTCGTTTTGTCAATTTATTCGCCATATTTGAACAATCATTCTAATCAATATTTCTGAGCATATATAAGAGCCCTGTTTGAAGCTATTCATTGTAAATGCAAGCTCTTATGATTTATACAGGTAAGTGCAATAATTTAAATTTATTACGTTATGATGTTTTATTCATATTACGTTTAATTAATATGTTTTATTCATATTCATAACACAGCTCTTAGTTGGACTCCCTGTGGACAAAGCATATATAACTAAATGTGCAGTTTTCAAAAGTATTTCCTCGCATTCGAATCCAGAAATATGTTAAATGTCCCACAATATTTAGAATAAACATGCCGTATACCTAAATTTAACTTTTGCCGTATATCAAATTTTGGCGTGTTGTGCGTGCCATAGACAAATATTGCAGCCACAGTAGTGTACGTGCAGTGTAAACGGGGCTTATGTTAAGGTACCAAATTATCTGAATTGTTGCTGAGTTAATGCAATTTCATCTCGCTTAGTCATGGCTTCATAACTGCATGCCTGTGCTAATAACAAATTTGCATGTCTTTGTTTTTACGGATCGCGATTTTCTATCGGACTATATGAATACTATATGAAAGCCAAATAGGAGTATTATTCCTCTGCGCTTTGAGAAACTAAGCCAGCGTGTTAAATTTGGTCAACTTAACGCTTATAATTAATCGTTCTAATTAGTTGTTCACAATCTTGAGAAGCTTTAGACTATTGTGATTGTGTTCACAACAATATATACAAGACAATGTTTGCGTTTGCTCAACCTCGTTCCCAGGGCCTTTTTGAAAATTCGGCCATGGGAAAAGGCCTTGGCACCGGCTGGCCTTTTACGTATTCTGATTGGTCAATGACAAATATATTATTATGCAATCTTGGATTCATTTATTCACACTTTTGGATAAATTAGCATTTTCACGCAAGGACAACGCAAGGAGTGCCATTATACCTTTATCTGTCTAAGAAATATTGTTTGCATATTATCTGTGGCAAAAAGGTTAAATTTGATAAGATTTATACACGATTTGTCGAAAGTAGTATTGTTGTTTATTTAAACAGTGAAAGAATCTGAGTTGTGTACTACACACACCTCTGACAGAGTATTTAGGGTAAAATCACTAAAATGTGCCTTCATTGGCTTCGTATAGCTTTACTGATTGTTGTGTACAAATATTAAATTTCTTGTATGAAGTCAGTAGTCTGGGTTTATAAATATGACCTTTAGTTTTTGACATTCTTCATATTTAAAGTCGAGTTTAAATTGGCCAAATTTATAGTTTATACCATTAGAAATGCGATGATATTTTGTTATATGCAACACTGTTTACAAATTTTGAATAATGATATATGATTTGATTTTGTTTCAGAGAAAATTCATTCAGAAATTGTGCAGCGTGTCGCTTCATTTTCACCATAAATTGTGTTATAAACACGTTCTACTATAGGGTCCAATATTCTATTTACCCAAAAAATGGTGCCAATTTTCGTATTTTTAAACAAATTTGTCCAAAACTGAAAAAAACCCAGAAAAATTGGTGCTTAAAAACACCTTTTGTGCAAAAAAAAGAATGCAAATTTTCTTCTCTTGCTAAAACAACCAAATTTACCTAAAATTAACAACACATTTTATAGACTGTTCTGAAAAGGATCAAATAATGCAAAAGTAGCATGACAGCTAACAGTGAAAATATGTTGGTTTAACCAAAGGCATCTCTGATCAATTTATATTTGGAAACTATATCAATGTTTCGATTTATCGACACCATGTGAATGTTTCAGTTTATCGAGACCATGTGAAATGTGAATGTTTCGAGTTATCGAGACCAAGTCAATGTTTCGATTTATCGAGACCATGTGAATGTTTCGATTTATCGAGACCATGTGAATATTTCGATTTATCGAGACCAAGTCAATGTTTCGATTTATCGAGACTATGCCAATGTTTCGATTTATCGAGACCATGTCAATGTTTCGATTTATCGAAGACAATGTCATGGTTCGATTTATCGAGACCATGTCAATGTTTCGATTTATCGAGACCATGTCAATGTTTCGATTTATCGAGACTATGCCAATGTTTCGATTTATCGAGACTATGCCAATGTTTCGATTTATCGAGACCATGTCAATGTTTCGATTTATCGAAACCATCTTAGTGACATCTAACATAACCTAAATCAACACATTTTAGCAAAAAATAATATTCTATTCAATTTAGCATTATACACATACATAAATAGAAAATATATAAAGCACAATGTATTTAGGTGAAAACTATTATGCTCAATATCAAAATGATATATATTTAAATAAATTCACAAATAAACTATTAATAAGACTCAACCCCTTAATGAAATATAACCTTATACAGGGATGGATTTACTGGGGGGGGGGTGCACACCCCCCTAGCCCGGCCAGAGGGGGGTGGGGGGTGGGTGCTATATTTTATGATAAAGCAAAAAAGACAAAATGAGATACAGTAATTTGAGTAATAACATGAGGATAAGTGAACTGTGAACAACAATTACAATTCAAATACAGTAGTTGATGGGCGGGTGGCACACATGAAACAACTCGGCAGTCGGCACCAGAGCACCCTCCCCCCCCCAGATCATGCTGGATCCATCCCTGACCTTATATGCTGTTAGATAGAGTAATATAATGAAAGGGCAGTAGGCAAGTAGGGCACATTGAAGTGTTGTACTGTAATGCTCCTCAAAATGTAAGACAGTAAAGCTGGATGAATGTAAAATATCACATTTATTACCATTTAGACTGCAAATGGTAATGTAAATTAGCTGTGCCGAGCTCTGCACTTATTACATTACTCTGTCCAGTACAAGGTGACTTTACAGTGTTCTTTTTTTAATTTTTTTATATAAACAATACTAAAATGTTCTTCAACAATGAGTTCGTCATCTAGCATGTAGTGTCAGTATATATTTTCTTTTCCTTATGCAAGTCAAAGGCTACAAGAAATATACAACCTGGCAAACATCTGCCCAAGGTTCATTTTTATCAGCCAATGAAAAGACCATTTCTTGCTGATGATTCCTTTCCGATAATGAATCTTGAATAAAGATCATCTAGCGTCACCAATGAATGGTTTTTTACATATAGCCCTCGTCAACATAATCCTAAGGAGGAATTGATATTATTAATGAATGGTGATTATGGGAAGCACTACGTATTTTCATAAAGCACACAATGGTAATTCTACTTTTCGATTATATTTTAGTCATCCTCAGCAATGGATCAAATTAGACACATTGATAACAGTGCCTTGTATACCCTAGTTGCAGTTAGCTTTTTCTTAATGATGCTATGCCTATTGATAGAACACCGATAATTCTCACAACGCTTTCATTAAAATTAAAATGCCCGGTCTCTCATTTCAACAAATCTGGGATCTGACCAACTGGGCTAATAGTTTGTGCTTCCTTACATGAACAAAATGTAATTTTCTATGCTAATATTATTATGGCTCATTTGAACAAGCCATACAAATAACAAATCAGGTTAAAATGACCAAGGTACATATTTAATTTGAAGCTACATGTAGGGATCACCCCTCAGTGCCCTCACCCCCACTCCTCCATTGGCAATGCTTGGATGTGAAAAGCCTATTCTTTATAGACCATTTACAAACTTCTTCACATTCATAAATCAATATTTAATATCAAGTTCAATGACTTCAATCAAGTGAGATGCCCAAGAAATATTGTTATAAATACTACACTATCAAAAAGCTGTCAAGCGAAGAAAAAATGTTGTCTTTGTAAGAAATAAATCAGTTGCAGAGAGGCCAACATCCTGTGGAATTGTTACTGTATTAACTCAACACAAAATTTTTCTCATGTATTTTTTACACGAGTTGTAAACCAGCAAAATAAAATTCCGTTACAATATACTCCTGAGATAATGAGATTGTACTCTCTCTTCTGGCGAAATAAATAGCAATTGTATAGTACATACCTTGCTTGATTTAATCTTTAAGTATTCCTGCGTTGAGAAGTAATAAATATTATATAATAACTACAGTGAAACACGCAATTTGATTGATCAACAGCCGTGCAGGATCAGACAATCCTGCACGGGAAATTCTGAACAGAAATTATTGCATAGAATTTTACAAATATACTCGCATTGTAAAGTTTCATTGTACGATACCTTTCGACTTTGAAGTAAGTTTCCAATTATTGAGACGTTGGTTTAGTTGTATGAATAAATTTCTGATCGATACATTGCTATTCAGCAAGTAGCAACGCGTAAGCGTTGAAATTCATCAGACCATGGCATGCAAGTACAACATCTCTCGCTTCAAAGTTGATCAAACACTTCGCAATCTTCACATATTCAGCTAGAGAATCGTCACTACTACTTTGACTGTCTGTTTAGCGGGTTTTCCATTTCAAATTTCGTATATTTTATCGAAAAAGTCCCTGTATTTTCGCTGTATACTTTCGCGAATTTGCGATCAAATTCTGTTCACATATGTTGTTGTTTTCAATAGCGTGGAGTAGCGATTCTCTGATTAGTTAATTCACGAATGTTGTGAGAACTGCACATTTCATCAGTAATTTTAATCAAGTTAAGCGTCGTTTCACTGTAGTAATTTTATAAAACAATTACCAAATGGTTTTCCCGTGCAGGATAGCATGATCCATGCACTTGGGATGTTGCTCGACTTTCGGAAAGCGTAAAAATACACTCGCCTACGGCTCGTGTATTTTTACGCTTTTCGAAAGTCTCGCAACATCCCTCGTGCACGGATCACGCAATCCTGCACGGAAAACCATTCGGTATTCCTTTATTCAAATATTCCGGCGATAAAGAAGCAAACGATTTGAATATTCGCAACTATGAAATATGGCGACAGGCAAGAGTCGCGGTGCGCAAAGCATGTTGGTACTATTTTTACCGAACTCGAAGCGAGCTGTTTCGATTATGTCCTTTTATGGACGTCGTCGTGTTTCGTTTCATAAACCGTTGGTTTATATTGTTTGTTCTTTGGCGCACAATATCTATAAATTTTGAATTCGAATCGCATTCAACGGCGAATATGAATATCAGCGTTTATATATAGCTATACTATGGTAAATCTTTGTGAGGACAGTGCTTGGATATGAATAATGAACATGAATATTAAATTTTTTTACGAAATTGAAGCTAAACAGTCGATTCTGTCGAAAGATCAAATCGAAGGAAGAGCGTTCAATTGCTGCCAAGGTCCAGATCATGGTCAAGATATCATACTGGAAAGTTCGTGTTTCGCGCGCCAAAGATTTTGCGCCGCAATTTTTACCAAAATATTGCACGCCAAAAAAGTTCTTCCAGCGAGACTAACGTGCGCCAAATAAGATTGGCGGAGACACAAGGAGAGCACTAGCCTGCGTAGCAGGCGGTATTCGCGGGCACGAGGGAACGGGAAGAGGCGAGCGCTGTAGGCGCGAGCATTGTAGGGGGTTAACCCCAGGGGCATTCTCCTCCGGAAAATTTTTGAACCTAGAGTCTCTCAAATGCCATTTGCTGGACTTTGGGGGAAGATTTTGCGGAATTCTGATGATCAGAAAACACTTGTTAAACAAGCGCCTGCTCAGACGTTCACACTGGCCTCGTGGCAATCAATCAATCAATCAATACAAATTTATTTAAACACAGTAAAATCTTCAGTACCTGGATAATCTAACTATTATAAGAGTAGGCAGGTAGGTAAAACTTTATTTAACTACGCTAACCCCTACAGCGGAAGCTGATTTCCAAGGGGGGCGTAGATTTAAATAGTTAAAAAATACAATTAATACAAATTATGGTCATACATTACATTACAGTTAACAACAATTACAGTACATTTACAAATACAACTAGTATATAATTATTTACATATTAAATTAATGTTAGTACTATGTAATATTCTTAATTAATTAATTGGCCAGGTGTCGTATACATGAATTAAACGAAGCAAGAGAATGTTTGTTTCTTGCTTCATTTGAAAGGCTGTTCCACAATTTTGCTCCTCTAAGACTTTTTTAAGATATTCAGTCTTAGGTTTGGGCAAAAAGTGTTTGGTGGAAGAGCCTCGCATATTATAATAATACTAGAGGAATACGTCCTTTGAAAAATGTTGGTTAGTCGTTTTGGCGCCAGTTCGTGAGTTGAATTGACTTGCCAGATACAGTTAGAGTCGTATCGTCGGCAGACGTAACGAACCAACTTCGTGCCCGACAGAGCGCCATTAACGGAGCACATTTAGGTTCTATTCGCTAAATAGGATCCTAAAAGGTTTAATGATGGCTTCTGTAGGCCATAAAGATCAAGTTTCTTTAACAGGATGTCATGATTTATGGTGTCGAACGCCTTTTGTAAGTCCAGAAAAACAGCTATATTAAACAAACCACGGTCCATATTAATAAAAAATTATTGCAATATTCTAAAAAATAAAACCATCGCAATATTCTAAAAAATAATTTGAAACATGTAGATGTTCTTCGCTTCTTGACGGCCGTCACTTCATGATCGCAAATATATATTCAGAGGACGGCACAATAAAAATCCATACAAAACCAACAGAGTTCAGCGATATTATATCAAAAAACACAGAAAAATTCAAGCGCATGTGCAATGAAATATAATAAAATACGTCCCACAATTACAGCGTCTAAGATTTGTAACGTAGTTAAATACGAGACAGCGTGAGCATGTTTTAGCTAAATTGCGCAATCCTGAGCCCACGATGCCGCAATGGAAAGTCACACTTGCGACAACAAAAAAAAACCCCGAAAAAGACAGCATTTTCAGCGAGGGCATTCTATGACACTGGCTGCGGCCAGTATAATTAGTAAAATTGAGTATTACACATGGGAATTTATGTTATATCGTGTTACACGTAAACATACTCGGCTCAATTCTCAAAGATAGATAAATAATAAAATTGTGTTGACCACGTACTTTAAATATTAAATTATCTGTTCAGGTTTCTGTCTCAGTCGACGATGATGTTTCCATATTGAAAACAAAACTGTCGAAACATTTATATCGATATGTCGAAAAACACCGAAGCATCAGAAGCAATTAATGAAACATATAAATATTGTAGCGGGAAAATTTTTCATTTACGTGAGTACGTGAATTTCAACTTTTCATTCTTTCAAGCTCTAGTTGCCCCAAAATCTGGTACATATGTGTCATTCACGCTGTCACGCCACGCCAAAACGAGAACATTCAGATTTTTAGCCAATTATGCGCCAAATTTTGGCGCATATATAATTTCTGCACGCCAAAGATCTTTGGCGCAACATACGAACTTTCCAGTATGGTGACAGACAGACAAGATAGTGCGAATTTCAGGTTGGTAGATTTGTTTGAACGTTTGAAGCGGTCCCAAGAATATTGTTTACATTTTTAAAATACATATCCCTTCTTGTCTGTTTTAACTGTACAACATAGGATCGAATGATCATCACTTCTAGTCTTCAATATTCAGTGGTCATATGAACGTGTTTTGACTGAGGCAATGGTTCACACTTCACATTGTTTACAGATACAATAAAAGTATATGGCCCCTGTACATAAGCCCCCATCAAAAAATCTTTACGAACGAATATAAGCCCAGGGCATATGTTTGGAGGTTCACGGTATGCCATTATATATCTGATTCTCTTGTGTTCTTTGATTGGCAGTTGTTTCGCTAAGTTAAAAATAGATAAATAATTACGTCATTGAACAGACAAAGTCACGTGACAGAAAAATAGCGGGAAATAAACACGTTGGTTTTAAGCTGTTTACTCGAGGTTTAACGTTCAGAAATAGGTTT